AGCCATACTTTTGCCGAGTGAAATTGCGTACAAGTGAGTGTTCAGGTCTGTGTTCAAATTCGATCTTGGCTCTCTGATTTCACATTCCAAACCGAAATCACTTACACCACCCACACAGTTCATGTAATGCACTGTTATAGAATCAAGGTTTATTAGTGTTAAAATAATTATAAAGTATAAGAAACGTTATATGAATGAAAGATGTATTATATAAATGAACGATGAGTTTGTAGGAAGTGGATGTGTCTTGAAGATAAAGTATATAGATAATGGATGACGTTTGACTTGAAAAGGGTAAGCTAGTAAGTTTCAATCATTATATATATAATTTTACTCTCGCTCTATCTATCTACCTCTCTCTCTCTCTCTCTCTATATATATATATATATATATATATATATAGAGAGAGAGAGAGAGAGAGAGACGGAGAGACGGAGAAAGACGCAGAGACGGAGAAAGACAGAGAGACAGAGAGATAGAGGTCTTTCGAACATATTTAGCAATACATGTACGAGTACAAAAGAAATATATTGAATCGTGTTTGCCAGCGGATATTTGTGAATATTTCTTGTCGGTTAGCGCTGACTGTAAACACATTTTAAAGGTTGACCCGGTAATAAGCAAACAGAGACGTGAGCTAACTCTGATCCAGGTCGTAATACATAAACACGAGTTTGGAGAAGGAAAGAAGCCGAAACATATTAACTGCTGAGATGTAAACAACGACAAGCGTGAAAAAAGATTTCGACGGATTAAACTGGCTGTGGAGTTTGTGCAAGAGGAACGAACTTCATGGGTAGAAGCGTAAATAAACAAGGGAAGCCAGCATAGAATCAGTTTAATCATGAAAATAAAATGCGCTGTATAAAGGATAGAAGATTTTATGTACATAAACACAAGTATACTTATAAATATATACATGTGTATGAGTGTGTATCTAAATATTTGAACAGGGAACATCATCAGTTAAATACAGAAACTGCTTATATATATACACACACACATATATATATACACACACACATATATATATATATATATATATATATATATATATATATATATGAAGTAACGGGAATATTGGCGCCCATGTCTTTGTAGAAAATACATAGACTCACAAACATATATATTGTTTTACATGTTTGATTTTCGTATCTTCAATTACAAATGTGAGATACCAAACACGATCAAACAATTACAACAACTTAAATATCTGAGAAGTGTCTTGACAAAAAATGGCAAGTTCGACATCGACATCCAAAGTTGTTCTGTGATAGCAAATGAGGCTTTTTCAAATGACCTATTTGACTTTTTGACCTTAGCGTTCGAAATGTCAAATTCGCCATTTCTCCCATCCGGGGTGCCCATATTTTTCATTCCTTACTTCCGAAGAATACAGAATTTAAATTTGGTTTGTTTTGCTTTGTTTCAAGCATATCCACCCATTGGGTCATTTAATGTTGAAATTTAATTTTGGGAAAGCATTCGTATTTTCCTTTATATATATATATATATATATATTGCTGGTAATAATTTTTTCTTATAGAAATGTCCTTCGAGTTATTTATATTACTATGATATTTTTATTATAAAATTGTGTACTTTCATAATGTTTTTAGACCAGTTTAGGGGAGCAAATATTTGTTCATAACTATTAGGATCCAATGAGGTGCTACAACCAAGGGTCAGGGTAGACTGAGTACAAGAGCAATCAAGAAATGGTTCCAGGTTTCTCAAGATCTCCGATCAGAGGCCTTATTACCTGTTATAGTGGAACACACCTATTCTATAGTTAATAGACTCTCCCACCTATAATAATAAGTCGTCGTAGTAGTAGCAGTCGTTAAAGTCGCTCAGGAGTTCGTCAGTCAGTCGATGTCGGACGACCGTTAGTCGGATACTAAAGTATCAGCGACCACAACTAGATTTCTCTGTGTCATTACCTATTATATCAAGTTCCTGACGTTTTGTACGTCGAACCTATTTTAGGACCGACTTAGTACAAATACAAGCCTCCACTGGGAAACTACTTTACAACGTTACCAGATGCAGTTTATTGTCATGCCCAGGACAAATAGAATGTAAGAGAATTAATGTGTATATTATTAGCAAAAGTTATTGACCCGTGGGATGATTTATTTGTAAATTTATCATGTGCAATAGATATGTTGCTGAAACAACCTTATATAGTTACACATGCAAATTTAGATGGCCAACGATTGGCAGCGGATAAATCCTCCGATCTAGCTTTGATATCTCAATGTAGAGGAATCTGTCTGCTTACTTTCAATCCCTAGAAAATCAAACTTTAAATTCCATCAATCAAACCTGAACTATCACCAGTGACGATGAATTGATATTTCCTCAGGAAAGTCTATGTCACGAACGACGTGAAACTCGTATATACGATCCATCTCTAAAAACGACGGAAAAATCCTGTATCTTTACAAGAGCCAGCTCATGCTTAAAATGATGTACTGCTGTCATATTCGGGTGGGAGCTACCCAGTATTCATTTTCTGGACTCGATATTATTTCCCACACTACAAACCCTTTCTCACAGATTAAATATCGCAAACCTCTTACTGTTCTGTCACTATTTCTATGGAGAGTATTCAGGCAAACTACATTTTAGAGTTACACCAATTCTAACCTTCACGGCTACCATTCGGCATGCCACAAACATTTTAATAAACAAATACGCTTTGTATTCCATTGGTGAGAGGTACATTCCACTGGAGGAGATTCTTACTACGAACAGCAACTCTTTAGATGCGTCTTCTAACTGGATGCTTTCCTGATCGGTACAATATTCATGTCTAGAGTTAACCGTTATCTTCTCTACATATCTGCATGCAGTATCCCTCTTACAGTGTAACCCTTGGCATTTCTTTGTTCCACAAGTTCTAGTTTTCAAAGCTATGACCGTCATTGCATGCATATTGTAAGGAACTACCCTCATTCCCTTCGTCTTCCATTAATTAGATGTAAGTTCCACTCGAACAGCTACTTCCACTGCTCTGTAGAAATGACTATCAAGAGGATGTTTTCCTGACCACTACAATGTTAACGTGTTTAAGTCCAAGCTTAACGGTTACCTGGCCCACATATCCACCTAAATTGTGCATCTTACTCTGCAGCCTCTACCTCGAGTGGCTCCCGGGATTTTACACTGACTTATTCTTTAAATTTTCACATTTCCCAGTGTTGTTCACTAACAGCCAAGTATCTTTGACGTGTTAATTTTACAATTTAAATCAGATTTGTTATTGAAAAAAAATTGTTTTCGCCATAGTCTTATATTTGCTAGTAATTAGCTATAGACATAGCGAATTTGAACAATCTAACATCTAAAGAAGGTAGTGAAGGAAAGCGAGAAGAAAGGACTAAACATCAATTTGAAGAAGATGTAATGAATAGTGGTTAGCAAAAAGGACATCCCAACGTACACATTACAAATTGGGGACACCAAAATCAAAAAAGTTTGCCAAAGAAAATATATAGAATGTGTTTTAACAGAGAATGGAAAGTGGGACACCTAAATCCGAAGGCACGTTGAAATAACGAAAGATGCCTTCCAATAGCTAAGCAAAGTATTAAGAATCAGGAAAATTTTTTCGAAAGAAAACAGCAATGGAATTTAAGGTAATATTAGTCTTTCTATATGGTAGTGAATGCTCCTCACAGATAAAAAGATTTGAAGCAACAGAAATGTGGCTCTACAGAAGGATATTGAGAATATCATGGACATGATATCTGAGCAACGATGAAGGTTTAGAGAAAATGCTAACAAATAGGACACTGATACCTAATAACAAAAGATAAGAGTTAAAATTTCAAGAGCAACTAAAGAGGAAAGAGGTCTTGAAAATTTTCCTACACGCAGGACATATTGTAGGCTTGACGAAGAGAGGAAAACAATGCATAAACTAAATATCAAGTTTGAATAAAAGGGTAGCCAAACAGGGTTTAGAAAAGATTAAAAACGATTGGATTTATTAAGAACTACAAAAGACAAGACGACGTGGAGATCCAAGACGACATATAGAAGAAAAATATTACTTTTGAGACTATTTCTTTTCTAGGTAAATGTAATGATAGCTTCGGAGTTTTGTGTTTTTACTTTTAGGTTACATAGCAACTGGTGGATTTGATCTCATTAACAACCCGGCTGAGATAATCTCAGCAGGTGAAATGTCGATGCGATTGTCGTCTAGACAGACTTGATTTAAAGTAAAAACAAACAGGTGCATTGTTAATATAGGCTGGGTTTAAACATAAAGCCCAAGAACATAGACATTTATCTGAGTCATGAAAATGTGTCTGAAGAATTTCAGGAGTTAAAAAAAAATGTTGTAGGTGGCGTCAACATTTGCGGACAGAAATATGGTGAGGCCTAGCATGGAAAAGAAGTGAGAGAGAAAGCAAAGAAGGGATAGAGAGAAAATTGACAATGCTTAATGAAAAAGTGGAACGTTGAAAGAAAGTTTAAAAAAAAAAAAGAAGAAATTGCAAAAGGAGGTGGAAATGAGGAAAAAAAATGAAAGCGAAAAAAAAAAAGAAGGAAAGAATAACTTAAGAATAATTAACGCAGAAATAAATGAAACGTTGAACTAGAAAAAAGAATCAAAAGAAAGAGAAGAAAGAAATAATGTCGCACAAGCCTGATGAAGTACCTGAGATTGGGGAAAGGGACACATTCACAAAAGAGACAACTATAATGAATTTATTTGATTGTTTCTCTTTTTACGGCTTATCAACATTTTCAAGGTTATTTAAAGCCAGAAAATATTTTCAGATTGTAAGAATTTGTCTTTAACGGTTTAATAATACAAATATTACTAATTAACCTATATCTGGGGGAAGAAGAGGTGGAGTCATACCTTTCCCAAGGGTATTTGGGCGTAAGGGAATATCACGAATCCGACTAGAATTGGAAATCGGCTCTCCTATTAACAATTCTGTATCATTATGTATTACAGCACACACATCCAAGTTTAAAGCACCTGGTATTCCCAAGCTGTCACCCATCTAGGTACTGACCAGAGTCGACGTTGCTCAACTTCGGTGATCTTAAGGAAACCGGTGTTTTAACGTGGTACCCGTAAGCCGAGCTATACTGAAGAGATGGCGACACTTATGACGCATACTTGATACACGCTTAGGCGATCATGTATCTTTCGATACATGAATGACGAGACAGATTTTTCCGCAGTAGGTGGCCATTTCTATCTGTGGTACACCAGGTGACATCCAAGGCTATAGAACCCGGTTTTTCCTGCTATTTATCCATTGCTGGGTTAGAAGAAGAGGATTCATACCTTTCCTAAGGTTATTAGCACGTAAGGGAATGTAATGGATTCGACGGGAATTCGATCTCGGCTTTCCGATTCCTCAACCCGAGACGCTATCAAAGAGACGACGACATAAAAGACAACAGAATAAGTAATTTCTTCGAGATACCGAGACGGAAGTAAGACTAAAATTTTGCCATGCTTCGGTATGTGTCTTGTGCGAAAAATCTAGTCTGATAGACCATTACATTTCCAGAGGATATGATACTCACAAGGTGACCATCAAATATAAAACAGACATCAAACGGTGAAACATGTGAATCAATACCTGTCTATGTTATTGTAATTTGATATTGTATTTATTTACATTGTTTGGACTGTGGTCCTCTACGATATTGTCATGTTTATGACGTTTCGACCGTTCTACGCTCCGGTAAACTACAAGGACAAATGGCTCAGTGAATAAAATCGTTGATTGGATCTAGTGACTTCACCCTAAGAATTGTGATTTCTGTACCTGGTTAAGGCAGTCATGAACACAAAACACGGAGAGTTGAGACAAAGGGAGATAACTAAGAGAGCCAGAAAAGCCAAGGCGCGTGAAACTAGAACAATCTACCCTGGTAGACGAAATGAAGGGTTCAGTTCGAAATTTCAGTCACCAGAAGAAGGCCGGAGCGTACGACAACCGAAATCTCATGAACATGACAATGAGGAAATCAACAGTCCGAACAATGTAAATAGTGTAAATATATGAGTCATTCTGATCTTCCCTGGATTACAGTGCCTGTAGCTTTATTTTGGACCTATAATCTAAAAGTCCCTTTTTATAGTTAGGCTTAAGGTTGAAATACGAGTTTCGGTATGATCACCGAAGTTAAGCAACGTCGAGTCTGGGCAGTACCTAGATATAGCACAAGTCCGAATTTAATGTGAGGTATCCGAGCCCGTAGGCTCGACCAAAATTTCCCCGTGGACCCCGTATAAAACGGTGTCGAGTAGCTGTTTCTCGAGACGAGACTCTACCCTGTGACATAGCCTCGTCTTGGTATCCTATCTGCTTGGAGGCAGAGAGTTTGACCAGCATAGCTGGAGACGAATCTCCAACTGCAGACCAACATACAGTATTTACTAATATATTCATGTGAATGGGGAAATACTCATTATCGTCCGTAGATATGTTACAACAAATAGGTGCTTGTTTATTTTTCAATATTTTCAAGAGAATCTTAGCAAGACGAAAGAAATGATAGTATAAAAAAATGGTAACTATGTTTTTTTTTTTTGAGCATTTCACCCCAAGCAAGGCGTGAGGGCCACTAGCACACAAGGGGTTACAGAGGATAGAGAACAAACGTAAAGCGTCATGTTTGGAGAGAGGATGAAGGGAAGAAAGGGGAACAATGTCAATGTATCAGAAGATCACGATTACACTTGATTATTGGCATATTGATGGTTTGGTTTTGTAGCAATTTGCGGTGTTGGGCTAGACTATTTCTGGCGCAGACTATTCTATGTTCAATTTTCTTTTTTTTCATGTACTTGTGCCGCTGAAAGCTTGTCACATATAGATCAGTAAAGCTTCAATTGTCTGAATAATTTTTGGGATAATTAATATTGTATTAATCACATAGTTTTAATCATCAATTGAAACGTCATTGTTTTCTGTTTGAGTTAGATGTGCCATCCATTTTAGTTGTTGCTACTATTGGCAGTCTTCAATTGATGTGGTTTCCGCTATTTCGTGCTGTTCTTTGTCTGTGATTCTGTATAGCCAGTCAATAATGTTCGAAGTAGGAGGATCTTTATCAAGACCCTCAGGTTTCACTCGCTCAAAGATGTTTTTTATCCATTGATCTGAGAAAGCGGTGGTATATAGCTGTCAGTTTAAATATTTCTGAACGGGTCTGGCACCATGCATGATATCCACATGAAAGTCTCGATCTGATGAGACATAATTAAATAAGAACATGACTCGAGTTGATTGTTTGGTTTTGTAGCAATTTGCGGTGTTGGGCGATCTCTAGCACAGACTGTTCTTTGTTCAATTTACTTTTTTTTCCTGTACTTGTGCTGAAACAATTTAAAATATCTTGGAAGTATCTTGACAAAAGACGAAAATTGTGACACCGAAATCCAAAGTCGCATTCGGATAGCAAATGATGACTTCTAAAAGTCAATCAAAGTATTTTAGAACAGGAGAAGAATATTGAAACTTTACGTAACACCTGTCCTTCAATATGACAGAGGATGCAATAGAAACTCCTCACCGATGAAAAAGAGACATGAAGCAACAGAAAACTGCTTCTACAGAATGATGAAGAGAATGTCATGGACTGAGCATATGAGTAACTACGAAGTTTTATAAGCAATAGTAACAAAAAAGGACGCTTTTACTTAGCATCAGGAAGAAACAGTTGAAATTACTGTGGTACATAATAAGGAAAAGTGCTTGGAAAATTTGAGACTCACAGAAGAAATTGAAGGCAAGTTTAACAAAGGAAAACAACGGATAACCCAACTAACATGTGTGTGTAAAAGGATGGCAGAACGAATATAAAGAAAAAAAAAATACTAAAAACTGAAAAGGACAGGAAATTGTAGCGAGCCATGTTCGCCATCGTCCTGACGGGACACTGCACAGAGAAAAAAAGAAATTTTATTTTCCAACATTTTCTTCTCCTTTGCAATCACGTGTGAATAATACTTGTTCCTACTTTGAAATACATACTTTTTTTTTAGAGAAATTCTAATTAATAATGTCAAAATTGTCAAACCTGCATTTTTTATACGCAGTCTGGAAAATACTGTGATACAATTTATTATTATTATTATTATTTCGAATTTTGACGCAATCAATGGAAATTAGGTCCTTGGGGGATACTCTCAAGACACCTTCTAAATGAAGAAGAGTGATGTTTTTTGTTGAGGGAGTGGATTTGGCGATTTAATATTTGTAGGAGTGGGTCATTGGTTTTTGATAGATACGCTTACTACCTGATTGTTGTAGTTGTTAGTATTAATGCAAATTGAATTAAATCTCGGCCTTCTAAAGTTATTGGTACGTACAACCTATCAATATCTGATTTCGGTGGGGCCAACCTAATTTGGGTAAACTTTTTTCTGGTCATGGCGTCCAAAATTCTAATGTCATTCAACTTGCATTAAATAATGTTGAAGCGCTCTGTTTCTAAGTGTATAGCTAAGGTGTTGATAGCCTTCATTTTATTGGTCCTAATGAGTTCTCTCTCTGCTATCAAACGCACTCTCCAATTATATTCTTTCCTTTATAATTGAATGTTGAATTCTAGCTCCTTCATTAATTTCTAATTATTTGTATGTACAATCTTGGCATTGTCCCTAAATCTTGTTGTTGGTATAAACGTCTGAATCTGCAATTTCCTTTTGTTTACCGCCTTTCAAGATGGCTTTGGTACATTTCTTGATTCTGAACTCCATCCAAATAACTTCGCTGAAGATTTTGACAATGGTGAGTAGGTTTTTCTGTTGATTGTCATCCTAGGCAAACGATTTAAGATCATCAATACACAATAGAGGATTCACTTTGCCGGTCTATATATTCTTAACTACTGTTCTTCTGCGGGCAGTCGAGTGACGCTAAAGCAAGGCAGAAGAGTAGTGGTGACAATGAATCTCCTTAAAAGATCGCGTTCTAGATGGTGACTGGTCTCGGTGTTTTGGACCCGCATGTATGGTTTAGGTTTAGTGTAGTCTTCCAGTTTCTCGTGCTCTCCTTTATGAATTTGACCGTTGTAGGGCATACTCGTTAGGCTCTTAGGCTCCGCTTTATCCATGAGTGTGGTAGACTTTTGAACGTCTTCCAGGTAGTCTATCCATGCTCTCGATAGGTTCATTTCCTTGTTCTCATCTCTCATTCTCACGTTTTATTGATAATTAGTTGACCCTTGTATTCGTAACTTCTTCTTCTACATCCCTTCTTGTTCTGCTGGGTGTAAATTGTTTTTTCTCGAGGAAGTGTTATGTCCTCTCGGTTATGATAGAGGTGGGGATATTGTACATTGTTGATAGGCAGGTTATGGGCACTCTACATGTGTGTGCTGTTCCAGTTCTTACTTGATTCTATGTGGCTCTTTCATCGTGCATTGTGCAGGTTTCTCACACCTTACACCAGAATTCCTCGACTTCCTGAATATTAGATGGGTTATCTATATTTTTTCTAGTCATTGATATAATTACTTGGCATCTTCTTTAAAGATCTTGTTTTGCCAGAAGAATCTATTGTTTTTTTAATAAGCCCCGATTCACTTGGCCTTTGTTTAAATTTGTTGTTTTAGCTTCTCTGTAACTTTAAGTAAGTCAATCTTATTCTTTATGTGAAGGCTTCGTTTTATTTGTCTCTTTTTTTCTTTTTTACATTTTGGTTTCCTTGTCTACTTCATTTAGAAGTAACAATTACCCTTTATTTATTTCTGTTATGATTTTTTTTCTTTCCAGACTGGCATTTTTCTTTTTCATTTTCCTTCTGTTTTTTACTTTTTCACCTATTGTTTCTACGATCATTGCAGAGGCCGCGTATATAAGATAATTAATTTCTCTCAGGTTCATCGGTCTTTCCATTTTATCTCTTATTTTCTCATTGTTTGGTTAGCAAGTTTGATGGCTTTCTTCACTTGACGGTTCTTCTTACTTTTGGAATTGTTGGCCTTTCTTCAAAAGTCTCCCATTTATATCAGATTTTTTTGTCATCTCTGATTCTCTCTCGTATTAATCATTATATTCTTCTATTTTCCATAAGGAGCGAGGCCTCCTACTATATCCTA